TAGATGAGGAGCATATGACAGTACGTGAAAGGAGAGCTCACAGCCAGACAGGACTGGGTTCAATCTCATCTTCACCTGCAATTAGCTGCAGACCCTTGGGCAAATTGGATTTCAGAATCTCTACTCATCAGTGAACATGGGGTAATTTACTCACTGAAGATTATTACAAGAGCTCCAGGCATGCTGTCTGGCACATTGGAGGAATTCAATAAATCATCTTCATAATTATAAAAGTAATCCATATGTCAAGGAGACATTGCAGAATGGAGGGAGAACAAGAAACATATCATCCACTCAAATTCTAGTCAGATTGGGAAAATAAACTATTTTGCCCTTTGGCAGTCCTTTTGTGTTCTATGGTACACTTCACAGTGAATTATTTTGTGTATTTCATGCCCTGTGAGGCAGCTTTGCCTGGGTTGCTTTTCTGAAATCTCATCTACATCGAAGCTCTTCTTTTTTTTCTAGAAGAAATTCTTTTCTGTCATTAAAGGGATCACAGGGTCAAAGGACAGATAAACTCTTTCACACTGAGAAAGTAAAAGCTAAAAGAGGAACCTAAAGTGGGCCTTGACTATTACTAATAGAAACTTCCAGAAGCCCTTGGAAAAAACAGGAGATTTTTTTCCCAGTCCAAATTTCTCTTATTCCCAAAGGTTTATCACCTAAATTCTTCAGCTCTGCTACACTTGGGCTTTATAAATGGTGGTGGAGAAGATTTAAAATCTGCAGCTTTCATCAGATTGCCAAAGGAGTGTTCGGTTTCCCAAATTTTAAGAAGTGCCGACGATAACTTTGGTAGTGTGTACATAGTGTCAATACTCTGTGGAATGCAGTCCAGTGCCTTCTTACTTAAGTGTGGCCTTCAGGGATTATCATCAGCAACACCTTGGAAATGTGTGAGAACTGCCAAATCTCAGGTTTATGGAATGAAAAATCTGCCTTTTAACAGTGATCTCCAGGTGATTTATGTGCATGTTAAAATTTGAGGAGCCCTGTTCTGGTTGTCACAGGATCTGGCCTTATGTTTTGAATTTGTTCTCTGGCTCTGCTAAATAATAATGTACTAAACTTTGGTTTATGTTGGATGTTTAACATTAAACTACACTAAACTCAGAGTTAATCTCAGGACTCAGATCTGAGTTTGATAACAGTCACAAACCTTGGCCAGTTCATTGAACTCTGTGGGTGAGTTGATTTCTTCATTTGTAATGTCAGAAGTAGGTGAGTTCTCTTTCATCTTGAAATTCTAGAGTTTACCTTTTATTTCCCATACAAATGTTTTGTCATGACCTCCTGTTTCTTGCAATGCTATCTTTTTGTCATTTAATATTTTCAAAAATCTGAAATCTGCACTGATTTCTTTCTTTTTCTGATTTCTATTACAAATTTGAGTTTTCTTTAGCACTTTGGTATATGCTAAGATATTCTCTAACTGTTGATCTACCTGTCTTTTTTGCAGCCATGGAGTTATACAATTAAGGCCTAGGCTGTATCTATTCTCTTTGAGTATGGCCTGTCATAGCACAAGGCAGAGAGTAGGTACTCAATAAATCTTTCAAGATTGGATGCCATATTTTGAGAGAGGGTATCTGTAGATGACACACTGAATAATGTCAATTTAATTAATTTGGTTATAAATTAATCATGTTAAGCCATTTATTTCCTAGGAAGATAAACATGAAGTAGGGTTAAATTAAGCTATTCACATGTCAGTATCAGCTCTTTAATGAATAATTCCTAGTTTTTAGAATAGGTCAAAGAAAAAGTAATATATTGAGCCCTTCTGCTTCTCCAAATTTCCTTTTTTTAAAATTCTTTTATTGGTACATTTTAGGTATACAATACGTTTACATTTATCATTGGGTGCTTGTACCTTTACGTGATGTATCTTGGTTCTTATTTTTTTCCCATTACCTATGCGCCCTTCACCCCTCCACCCTTCCCTATTTACATAGATTTCATTTCCATTTTTTTTCTTTTCTCATAATTTTTCCTTTCCCCTTCCCCTCCCACCACCCCTACACCTTTGGACCTTTTCCTATTTCAAATGATCAATTATTCATTTTAATAATTTTAATCCTTATTTACACTTTCAGTTTCTCACTCCAGAGAAACTATTCAGTATTTACACATGTGTGTCCTATTTACTTCACTTGAGTATGGCCTCAATATGCATCCATTTAGCTCTAAATTTCTGTAGTTTCTCATTCTTTATGGTTGAGTAGTACTCTATTTTATTAAAAAAACACATCTTCTTTATCCAGTTTCCAGTTGATGGGCATTTGGACTGTTTCCAAGCTTTAGCTATTACAAACTCTGCCGCTATAAACATGGGTGCACGTATATCGCTGTGGTATGATTCTTTTTTTTTTTTTTTTTTGGTACCGGGGATCGAGCTCGGGTCCTTGCACTTGTGGGGCAGGAGGCAGAACCACTGAGCTAAATCCCTGGCCCCAAAGTCAGTCCCTTTTTTTTTTTTTGGTACCGGGGTTCAAACTTGGGACCTTGCACTTTCGAGGCAGGCGCTGGAACCACTGAGCTAAATCCCCGGCATGATTCTTTTAATTCTTTTGGGAATTATATTTAATTCTTTTGGGAATATTCCACCAGGGGAATAGCTAGGTCAAATGGGACCTCTAGCCCTAGTTCTTTGAGGTATCTCCATACTGATTTCCAGAGTGGTTGCACCAGTCTGCTTCTCAGAATTTCTTTGCCTTTAGTAATTATTTTGAATTTATTTATATATATTTATATATGCACATATGTGTACATGCATATTTGTATGCATAAATGGACTACACATATACACATACATATATGCAGATATAAATTCCTTTACCGAAATAACAAAACTGGATGTTCTATTTAACTCTTTAATGAGGGGTACTTTTGCAAAGTTGAAAATACTTTGAGTAAAAGTTCTTGTATTAGTTTGTTCAAGTTACTATAACAATACTGTATTATGGATTAGGTGGCTTATAAGCAACAGAATTTTATTTGTACAGTCCTGGAGGCTGAAAAGTCCAAGATTAAGTTATTGGCTGATGTAGCGTCTGATGAGGGTCACTTCCTCATTCGTACATAGCTTTGTTCTCACATAGTGGAAGAGCAAACAGGCTCCCTTAGACCACTATTATGAGGACACTAATCCTGTTTATGAGGAATTTGCCCTGATGACCTAAATGCCTCTTCCAAAGGAATTACTTCCTAACTGCATCTCTTTGAAGACTGGGGATTTCTGCATATGAGTTTGGAAGGATACAAATATCTGGCCATAACAATTCCTGTTTGGAACTGTGAAGGGTCTAAGATTTTATGCTGCCTTCAAGTTAGCTGTCAACATCTTAGCTTACCATTTTCAGTACAACCAGCAATAAAAATATGGTACTGCTCCCTACAAGTGAGAAATAAAAAACCCCAAAGATATGCCAGATAAGGTACCTTATTATTTCTAGTAGACAAGAAGTCTAAGTATTGGTGCATTTGTTTCAGTTCCCCTAGCCAAAACTGCATAAAGGCAGCAAAGATGGGCCCAGATGAATGCCAGGAGCATGTAATGTATCACATTACAAGAAAGGAGCCCCAAACTTTAGAAATCTGATTCTTGCAAGCTGTCCAATCTGTTTCTGCAGTGTGCTTGCCGTTTTAAAAAATGTTATAATAAGAAACATTTTAAAAGAGGAAATTTTGTTACTTTTATACATTCACTATATTATGTATTTTATATGTAGTCCAAGACAATTCCTTTTTACATAATGTGACCCAGGCAAGCCAATAATTTGGAAATGCCTGAACAATGCATGTCTCCTTCTATTTTAGAGGATGATACTATTTTTATTATTCAGGAAACACTATTTCTACAGTCCAAAGCTAATTGCTAAACAAGTATCTTTGAAAAGATAATCTAGAGCAAAGGGCAGTCAGTGCTCAATTTCATGTTTCTAAAGTAAAAGCTCATATTTTATTGGGTGAACATTTCTGATAATGATGCATTATGAGTATGAACCATGTTGGGGTAAAAATATGAGAAAGCAATCCAATGCTCTCATGAATCTTTTCATTAGAATTGGTACAGAAAAGGAAGTGTACCATTGAGAATTTTCTTCCTAGACTATCACATTTGATTCTACATAAGAAGTAAATTGGAAATGTTTCTAAGAGCCATTCTCTTAAAGCAGCTTTCTTTAAGCTATACCAAGTAACAAAATCTTTCTTTGTGTGAGTCAAGGATGTGATCTTGAGGTCAAATCAGAACACTTTCTAAACTGGGCACAAATCATTCTGAGAAAAGTGCAAGAAAGAATTTCCACCTAATTGTGGAAGGCATGTGTTTTGATGTTGGTCGAAGAGCAGCACTGATTGCTACATGCCTTTTGGAGTTTGTGAGTCTGAGAGGAATGGAAAGGTCCTCGTGACAACAGGGGACAGGACCTTTATCTTTGCTTGGGAAGTGGGATTTTGCTCTGTAACATCTGGTATTGGGTCACAGGGAGCACAAGGACAGCCATTTTGACTTGAGCCTCTTGCTGTGTTTATGAAACTTGGCAGGCATTGAGTCGTTGAATCTATTCTACTCTCAAACATTATAGACCAGGAAAAATTCAAATAAGCTCTCATTTGAGCTGGGCCATTGGAGAGCAGCAGATGGTTGGTAAGACCTTGTTTGCCTGTTCCAGGGCCAGGAGGAAGAACATGGGAATTTGGTCCATTATTCATTTTACATTTCCAGAATCCTGTATGATTATTATGATTAATTTAATACTCTTTCCAGCCATTTGTTTCATAAGAAAATTAAGGAATCCCTAGAGTAAGAGAGACATCTGAAAGCACAATTTGCTGTAACTCCTCACTGTAAATTCTTTGGTAGGAGGTGTGAAAGGGGTGAATGAGGTGTTTCTGAGTTTAATTTTTAACATTGTATACTTAGTTCTATTTTGGTAATATCTTGTGAAAAAACCAACGAAAAATTCTTTTTGTCTGTTTAATTTTTTTTTCAGTTAATTACAATGCATCTTTGGACGCTATCATTTCTAGTACAACCAACAATACAAATACTGTGGTGCTGGCTTGGAGAGAGAAATCAAAAAAGCATCTTAAAATGACATCCTTCAACATTGCCCAGGGCATTCATGCTTTTGATTATCACTCCCGGCTCAATTTAATTGGTATGTAAAATAAATCATGATAACTACGAGGGCTCTCAAATGGTCTAGGATGCACATTTGTATGCATGGAGCTTCTCCACCTTGTTCCTTTATTGCCAGAGAGACCAACTTGAGCAGCTCACATTTTATTGCCTGAGAATGTCTGATAATGATGCATTATGATGTGTAGTGTATATGAACAATATTGGGGTGAAAATATAACAAAGCACCCAACTCTTTAATAAGTCTTTTTATTAGAATTGGTGGGGGATGTGAAATGATGTAGAGAGAAAGAAGACAGTTTGTACAGCATCTGCCATTCTGCCATTTTCTTAACACCATCAAATGCTGCACCCAAACAAATACATCATTTTCATTGCTGCTAAACACTCTCTCTCTACTAGAGAACTCCAAAATGTAGAATGTTATTCGATTACTTTTCAGGGTACAATCTGTAATGATTGTTTTGTAACATTTGCAGATCAACCTAACTTTAGTTTATTAGAGACCTTTTGATGTAAAGGGAAATATGAGGGATTTCAGACATAGTTATTTAACTGAAATATCTAGACAATCTGAAAGTTATAATTTGATACACATATAGGTATGTGTTCAAACATTATAAAAATGAGGTTCAGTTCTGTTCAAGAAGTAAAATATGTTTAATATTTGTGACTTTATTAATGTGAACAGCACATCTATATTAGAAGGAGATTGGTAGTTTATATGGTAAAGTGACATGCATATACTTTTTTTTTTGGTTTTACTAAAAATATACTTTATTGCACTTGTTAAACTGATGAATGTTAACAGTATATATTTAAAAAACACATATTTTAATAGTCATTTATCTATATACTATTTTTTTTTAACTTTATGCTTTAATATCAAAACTTCATCCAATTAAGACAGGGTAAAAACAATGTTAAGAATGCTGAACAACTGGAAATGCTCACACACTGCTAGGATGAGTGTAAACTAGCAGTATTTACTAAGGCTACATAGAAACACCCTGTGACCCAGCAAGCCAACCTGTGTGTATTCCCAACAGGACTAGGGGATGTTCTTAGCAGCATTATTTCTAACAGCCCCGAACTGAGAACAAGTTAAACGATCATTAATCTTACAATGGATAAACCATTCTATATTCACACAAATACTACAGAGCAATGAAAATGAACTGCTACATACACCAACAAAGATACTTTATAAAGCTTGAAAAATAGGCTAAAACTAACCTTTGGTAACAGATGAAAATAGTTGTGCTCTTGGGGACGGTGAGCATGGTGGGCACTGGCCAGAAAAAGGCAAGCACAGGGAAGTCTCCCTGAGCAAGACAAAGGTTTTAATTTTTAAGTTACACAGGTAAATCCTATGCAAATTTACTCTGACTTTACTCAGACTTGTGCACCTTACCATGTACAAATTATATTCCAACAAAGAAAAAGGACAACTGAACAACTAAGGTTCTGGCAAATAGTACAGCTATGGGCAAGAAGTAAATGGATACAAATATCTTTGTCCCTTTGCTGGAACACAGAAATGAGCGATTGCATTTGCAAAAAGAATAAATTTTTAAGTGCATAAATGGTATTCCTTTTATTATAATGGTTTTCAATTTTGGCTGAAGGTTTGAAATACTGTTTGGCAGATATTTTTGACTCCCATGAATTAGGCAACTTTGTTATGCTACACATACCAGTTACTTGCCAGCACTCAGCTTTAACCACTCATTTTGCTAAATATAGTACTAAGTAGAAAATTAAACTGGATGTGGAATGTGGCCTACAGAATTATAATGGCTATTGTCATTAGTAATACTCCAAAATAAATTTACTTCTTTTACTATTTTGTTTATCTATTTTCACCTAAAATCTGCTGCCAACTCTAGTAAGGGTGAAACAGAAAAAATTCTTTGAAATATAGAAAATTTATTTCCTAAGCTTTTGGGAAAAATTAGAAAGACAAAAACCTTGAATACTCTAAAAGAACTTCTCCACTTTGCACTCCAAATTGTTTTCGCTAAGTTTGACACTGTGAAGATGGACATCAGTCCAGGGAAATATGTTTTAATACTATTACTTAAAGAAATATTCAACTTAACCAAATACTTGACAAGATTCCTAATAGAAATTGTACAAATAAAAAGATTAATACATGTAAAGATCTTCAAGAGCAAGAAAAAATAAAAGTACTTAAAATTATCCATGCAGAATAAACCCTGGCCTACAGTGCAAGTAAGGCAAGAGTGAATGTAGCACTCTGACATGTAAAAAAATTTTTTGTTTAAAAAAAATGGGGCTTATGTTGCTCAGGCTGATCTCAAACTCCCATCTTAGCCTCCTGAGTAGTTGGGACCATAGGAGTGCCACCATGCCCAGCTGGAGAAGTAAATACTGTTAACTACAATCTCCCATATGTATAAATAAAATAGAACATTTGTGCTGGTGTGTGAACTAGATCCTAACCTTCAAACTTAGTGTCAACCAGAACTTCTCTACCAGCTGGCCATTTATTTGTGAGACAATACAGGCAGCAGGTGAGATTCATTTTTCAGACTTTTCAGCTTCTAACACTGATGGCACTATCTTCTAGGCACTGGTCTAGGTGCTCATTAATCTGTGACTCCACAACGTCAGTCTGACACACTGGACAGCTGACCAGCTGACTCTGACTGCGTAAGCGAGTTGTAGCTGTAAAGTATGAACTACTATTTGGCTCACTCCTATCACTTTGTAGTTGTTCTTTCTTCGTAAAGGTGTCAAAAATGCTTTTGTCTTCTAGCCTGGGTCGTTTGCCTGGGAACTTGTCTTTGGACCCATGTCCATACTGGGATGCAGTTACAGATGCTGAGGCCATCACTTGGGAGGGATTTCTCAGGGATGTCTTAGAAGATGGAACCTTCCTTCGAGAACTAGAAGAGACTGAGTGTTTAGTGATGTCACCAATGGTTCCATTTTTCAATTGGGATCCGTTCACACTTCTGAAAGCCTTTAGGTTGACAACCAAGACTCTGGGAAAGTAGGTGCTTAGGACACTTTGGTGTACAGGAGGGACTTGATGAGGAGAATTTTCACTTGAACCATTCTGTTTGAATTTCACCTCGGTGGTAGAATCAGGTCTTATAGCACCTGCTGAATTGTCCTGACTTAAAAGATCTTGGGATTCATTGATGGCACGTGAGGCAATCGCTTTCCCAGATGAAGATGGATTCCTCACCTCTTCCAGAACATACCCTTTGCCACTGAAAGGGATTAGCGGTCGAGCCTCACTTCTATTGGGCTTGTCTTTATTCTCCACTGTTGATACAGGCTGCTTTGTCTTTCCTTTTCCTTTTTTGGAGTAATTTTCTGGTTCCTTGATTTTTATGTAAGTGCCTCCACAGGCTTTCTGGTGCTCAGCCCACCAGGAGTCATGTGCAGAGGGTGCCCTGTTGGTGGCACGTTTCACATAGCCGTAACATGGGGGTTTGTGCTGACATGGCCCATTGCAGCGCCACCAGTGTCGGCGGTACTCTTCCACCTCACTGTGAAATGTGCGGTGTACCGTAATATTGGCTCCAGTCAGGCGATTGATTCGATGCATATGCTTACAAAACTCTGGACCATGTCCTTCCCGGTCTTTATCATTATTAGTGATAAATAAATAGGCATGTATCATTTCATGCAAGAGAGTCTCTACAAGATCTTTTCTTGGTCTGAACTTTAAAAGGGGTTCACTGATACGGATGGAACACATTCCGCCACTGCCCTCATAGCTGCAAATCCCAGCACACAGCGTCATGCGCAGGCTCCACTTTACCTCCACGGCCTCCAGCCGGCCCCGGAAAAAGCTGTCATTGAGCTGCACGAATAGGTCCTGCAGGTTCGGGGTGGGGTCCACCAGTTCCCAGGACGGGTCCACCAGCGACAGGGTCTCCCGCGCTGCGCGCTTGGCGGCCCTCGCATCCCACTCTTCCTGCGCCCGCAGCGCGACCATCGGGTCCTCATCCATCGCGCCCTCATCCATCGCGCTGCCAGTTCCCTTCACACCCTCGACTACACCGGCTTCAAGAGACCTCGGCCCCACTTCAGGGCGAGCGCGGGCTCGTCCGGAACATCAGCACTAGGATGCGGGGTCTTCGCAGCTAAAAGTAGCACAACGCCGACCGCAGGCAGTGGCCGAGTAGAGTCCCATAAAACCGGCTACCGCCTTTATTCCTCACTGATAGTCTCACGCCCCACGTCACGCTCCGGCTAGGCGCAGATCCCAGCCGGCTCCTAGTTCCGCAGCGATGCTCACGCGCCTTAGTCCGTTACCGTTTCTGCGCTGGTGTCACAATCGTGCTCAAGTCTAGCGCAGGCGCAGTGTCATGCATATACTTTTATATAAAGCAGATTTAAAAAATTATAAATGAAATAACTTTTTTGAAAGTGACTTTCTTAATTAAGCTTAGGATACATCAAATATTTGTGGCAGATGGCTAAACAAATTATCAACGAGAATTTTTTCTAAATAATTAGAAAATAAAATTTTTTATCAAAAGTACTATTTCATTTTACATTTTCAAGAAGGTGGTGAGATGTGTTTATGGCTGAGGTCTCTTGAAATTGAAGAAAAGGGAAATGTTTCTATCTTGGGTGCCATGTCATTATGAATATAAACCTCAGTTTACTGGAATACGTATAGAATGTGTGGTTCTGGTTAACAAAAGATTAACTAGCAAACACTCAGTAACAATCATTACAGAAAAGTACTTCTGTCTTTAAAAGTATGGCATGCTAGAGATAAGTTATTTTAGGTTTTAGACATTTCACATGCCGTGCCCTCTATGTTATACTAGACAATTGGAACTGGATGTAGCCATAGAAGGTACAGGAAATGGAACTTGTTACTGATATTGAGAACTCACCTGGAATTTTAAAGAAATAAATGTGTGTTATCCTTTTAAAAAAATGAAATGTAGAGGTATCACTGAAGGGTAGATATGGAGAACATACATGGCTCAGAATGGGTTGTATTAATCTTCATTCAATTGTTAGCATTCATATTAAGAGTATTGATATTATCTAAGAGGCTAAATCCCTAATATTTCCAACAATAATATCTGGTAGTCATGATTAAAAAAATACCTTCACTATAGACTCAAAATATGCCAACACAAACTTTCAAAGAGTACTATAGAGTTATTAGAGAGGACTGGAGGAGTTGATCAATCAATTTGAAAAGGACTTAATTATGAACCACTTAATTCAGTGATTTATTAGTTATATTTTTTCTTTAAGATCATACATATCTCTCTCCCCTTGGCAAATCCCTTTCTCCCTATGCCTTCCATTGTAACAATCACTATTGGCTGAATTCATTCTGCATAGGTGTAGTCTAGTTGGGCAAGGGCAAGATTTTCTTTTCTTCAAGACAAGTGATACCATTCATCAAAATACATTTATCCCCTTATGCATATGTGACAAGTTCATTTCAAAAAAAAATGCTGTGGGTTATTTATTCCACTAAGACATTTTTTTCTTTTTAAAATCTGATTAGCAACTGCTGGCATTAACAATAAAGTTTGCCTTTGGAATCCTTATGTTGTTTCTAAACCAGTCGGTGTCCTTTGGGGTCACTCAGCCAGTGTAATAGCGGTCCAATTCTTTGCGGAAAGAAAACAACTTTTCAGCTTCTCCATGGATAAAGTAAGTAATATTGTGCATTTAAGTTATTTTGATCTGGCTTACCAGTTCCTATTGAAATTTAACCTGATCCTGATTTTCTCTTGGAAAGGATTTTAAATTTTAACGTATACTAGTTATTATGTTTTTAAAAATTGGCACTTAGAAAAAAAAGATGGATGGTTCTTTAACAAAAGTCCTGACCAACTAGACAAAGTAATTTATTTAAACCTTGTTGAAAACATATACTCATGAATTTAGTCCTTTGTACTGGACTTTCAATATGTAACATCTTAAAGAGTTTTCAAAGTTCTCATTAATTTAATAGGAAAAAATGAAAATGGGAATGAAGTGGTATTGTTTTGGTAAGATAGTGAGAATAGGAATATCCAATTAGCTATTGTTGATTTGATATTAAAGAGACTTGATAAATTAAGAGATTTAAATTAATATAAAGAGTAGTAAGTACATTAAGAACATTTCAATTCAGTATATTAGTTCATTTTATATTAATATTTGATGATGTTTTGTTTGTATTTTAGGGTGCTGGGGACAAAACCAAGTGCCTTGTACCCATTAAGCAGATATTTTACCACTATACTTGAAACCATTGATGGGATATGTTAAATAGGGTGGGAAAATATACAGCACTAAAGTGTGATAATCCAAGAATCTTGAGCACTTTACTACATATATTCACTTAGGCAAATTCTTAATCTCTAGAAATCTTGTCTTTTGTGCCTGTGTGAAACTTCCATTTACATAATGTCTAAATTAAAGCTCCACTTCAAATATGATAGATTTCAAGATACTTGGTTATGAAGAGAAAGTTGATAAATTTACTAGAAAAAAACCTCTTGAGACTTTTTCAGTGAATCAGTATTTTGCTAAAATGCCATATGTATATTACAAATATATGTAAAAACCATATAAAATGCATCTTCAGCTCCTTAACCACAGCCAACTCCAAATCCTACTCAAATTACTTATTTTATATTACCTATCATATAAATCTTGTTTCCCTTATATTTCTCCAGTTAACGGTCAATTCTTATGGATCCCACCATCAAAATATCTATTAATCACACTTCTCCATCTTAGATGACACTGCTCTAATAAAAATCTTGTCTTTCCTCAAGACATCACAAAGCTTTCATATCCTGTCTCCTTACTTTTAGTGATTTGATTCTAATATGCCTTCCATTTACTAGTTTAGTTTGAAAATTCTTCTGTTTCTCATCTAAATTTAACACAAAGTCCTCCCCTTCTTTGCAGCAGATTTTGCTTCTTTATCACCTAAGACTCTAGATCTGTATCAAACTATTGGTTGTTCTCAACCATGCAATTTTATTGCCTAGCAATATGCTCTTTCTTCTGCTGTTCAATTCTCTCTCTTTCACTAACCAATGGAGGACTATTTATCCTCCAGCCTATAGACACTGGAGTCTCTCATGCAGGCCTAGGTGTTTCTCTCTATGTACTCCCACTGATCTCGTGTGTCCTCCGTTAAAGCAAATACCATGCTGCACTGAAATTATTAGTTTGCTTCTAGGCTCAGTATCTCTTTAAGTTTATATTCTTGGTATCTATCTGTAGGGAACAGGAAAAGGGGATGTTACTAGAACTTCTGCAGTGAGTCCTAGTCTCCTGCGAGCCACGGCAGCACAAGGTGAATTGCAGGAGACAGAAAAATCAGACTGAGGAGCAGCTGAGCTTTGGGTCTGATCAGTGCTGCTCTGGGCAGCAAAGATGAAAGCTCCCAGTTTACCACACCTTTTATTTAGTACATTGGGAGAAACAAATGACTTGCAGAGAGTTCAATACATCCGTGTAAACAAGATGTAACAATCCAAGAACAACGAGGAACTGAGTAGATGTTTGTTTCTCCCAGGATGTTTTCAGCTCCCAGGATGTTTCTTGTCCTGGAGAATCACAGCTTCCCTGGATCATTGAGGTCTCAGCTGTGACCGGAGGCCAAAAGGGAATTATGTCTCAGAATTCCATAGCTGGGCTGTAGGTAGGAGAACTAAGCTAAACAAATGATTTTTCCCTAAAATTATGTAGCATTGCTCCCGAAACCCATCATAATACTTGGTACCTAGTAATGTTTATTCAATGGTTATTTGTTCAGAGCTTGAAGTGAAGATACATTATCAGGAACCTAAAGTAGTAAAGAAACTCAGAATGAAAGCACTTATGATGTCCCTCTCTTATGTAAGATTTAATTCTATTTTTTGAGATGGTTTAGCAAAGTTGACTTCCATAATTGAATTTAGCACCATCTGACTTGTTTACTAGAGCAGGGGTTCCCACCCCTGGGTCAGAAACTGATATCCTTCTGTGGCCTGTGAGGACCCTGGCCACACAGCAGGAGGTGAGCAGCTTACAGCTGGGAAGTTTCATCTGCGTTTACAACCTGCACGCTCCATCACTGCCCTTACCACCTGAGCCCCGCCTCCTGTCACATCATCAGTGTTATTAGAGCTTCATAGGGGAGCAGACCTTTCTGTGATTGCTAAACTCTTGATGAGAATCTAATCCCCAAACCACCCCACACCCCATTCCCACCCTTCTCCCATGGAAAAATTGTCTTCTTTGAAACCGATCCCTGGCACTAAAACAGGCTAGGGGTCTCTGTACTATAGCTTTGTACATGGACATTGTACCTTTTATATACTTTAATTGATCGAAGGGAAAAATTATATGTTTCCCAGGATCTAGCAAATATCACTATGTTAAACTCATGCTGAATATGATGGAGGAAATAGGAAGCTAGGCACTATATCTTTCTTGGGTTATGCCATATACATACAAGGGCCTCAATACATAGTTAATTGAATGAAATTTTATCATATAGATGAGACAAATAGCATAAATTTTAATACTACAGAGTTCTTCAACATATATTATAACTTTTAAAGCAAGTGATAAATTGTCCTTACTGTCAGAATTGATCATGTACAGCTGTCTTCAATGTTAAGACCACCTGGCCTCTTTCAAAAGCAATTTTGCCCTTTGATTTTTGCTTTGACTTCTCAACCATTACATCATAATAAACCTTGTCATGCTATCATTCACATTAGTCTAAATCCATTTCATTTGGATAAATGCACAGTAATCCCGATCCTTATGTCTTTATAGCAAACAACAGGGCTTTCTGTACCGGATTAAACCTCTGTTTTGCAATAAAATTCTTTTGGCTATTTTATAGACCTAGAGTTAAGTTAGGGGACAGGGAAAATTTTAAAAAGGCATTTGAGAAAGCATTCTTTTTTCAAAGAGGCTCTGAGTAAATCATGTTTTGGTCAATGAGTTGCTAAATTAGAAGATTTTCAGACTAGAGAAATTTAGATCTAAATAATTTCTTTCAAAAATGATCTGCTACTTTGGTTCTGTTTGGAAGATTGTTCTTTTATCACTTCTCAGTAATGATTAAACAATGTTACTCCCACAGAGTTTGGTATTATACTAAATAATAGTCCAATTGCACTTTGCTTTGGACTCCTAAATTGTTTCTCTTAACATGGCAGCCACACGTGGTCAGACCCTGCTGGCAGCCACTAATTTTGTCATTTGGAGGAAGAACCACCAAGGGACTAAAAGGATTTTCAAGGCCTAGAAGAAATCTCACTGCTGGTGGCTAACATTCCAACTAAGAAGAGGAATTCAGCTTTTCTATTGCTCCTCACTGTTCTCTCCTGGGATACTAATCCTGATTTGGCCACCAGAATCAGCTTAATTTATAACTTAATCCTTTGTTGGAGGTTTAAACTTTTCCAGAGCCTGGAAAATCTACTGTAGACCTATGGTTGGCAAGGAAAATACTGACTTTTGTGCTGATTATATCGTATCCATTTTTCTTGTTTAATCTTTCCTCTGTACTTCCCCTAACTTCATCTCCCATCTAAAAAATCCAGAAGCTGAGTCTTTTCATTTTTTCTGAAATGAGTAAGTAAATGTATTAATTTCTTTCCTTAAAAATTATGAATGATGAAAAGATATGTAGTGCACAAATATTACTCCTTCTTATTTCCCCTTAAGTCAATTTCTCTCCCAAGAAATAACCATTATTAACACTTGCTTTGTGTCTTCCCATACTGTGCTGATTTATACTTAGTACATTATTCTGGTTTTGCATGCCTGCATGTGAGTGTGTGTGTGTGTGTGTGTGTGTGATAGTAGGGATTGAACCCAAGGGCTTCACACTGAGCTACATGTCCAGGCCTTTTCTTTTTTCTCTTTTATTTTGAGGCAAGAACTTGCTAAGGCACTAAATTGCTCAGGCTGGGCTTGAACTTGTAATTCTCAGCTTCCAAGAGTGCTGGGATTATAGGCTTGCAGCATCACGCTTGGCTATAGTGTGTTTTAGGTAAAACCCTATGGGTGTGTACATACACAGTGTGGTATGTTTTAGTTGTTTGTAAATGGTATTATATGAAATTTATTTTTCTGCAATTATTTTTCCATAAACAACATTTCTTAGAGAACATTTTATGTGGGTATACATAGACCTTTTTTTAAAAAACTACATAGTATTTTATGGTATGGATCACTGTGATTTAGTTATTTGATCATCTATTGATTAGAAAAGATATTGTTTAATTTTTTACATTTATTAGTCATGATATACAGACATACACATGTATCTTTAAGATTTTATATTAATTTCTTGTGATAAATTCCTAGAAGTAATGTTATTGAATCAATAGAAATGTACTTTTGTTTTGGTACTGGGGATCGAACTCAGGTCCTTATGCTTTCGAGGCAGGCACCGGAACTACTGAGCTGAATCCCCAGCCCCAAGAAATGTACTTTTAAAAAAGATTTTACATAAATATTGCCATTTCAATGCAAAAATATTGTACTTACTGGCCTACTTATCAGAAGTCTATAAAAAGTCCTGATACCCATGTACTTAGAAACCACTACTGTGCTCATTTTTTGTTTGTGAAGTTGATAAACAAAAATTAGGGTGAGTTTCTTTTTCCAATATTTATTGTTCTTTTATATATGTTGAGTTTTTC